AGACCTGAGAGTCGCTCACATCTGTTTGAAATTGGGATAATTTATAAGTAAAAGTTGAAATTAACTTCACAATAAAAGCCTTATGGTTTGATGAAGATGATGACGTCTTAATAGAATTCCCTTTTAATTTAGAATTTACACTAAGGTCAGAGACTTTGACACTACAGTATGAATTAAAGCACATGAACTGGACAAATAACTGTATGTTAGGTTTACTTAAAATTAAAAATTTTTATCTATGATTTTTCGGGTAATAGTACAGTAAATGCATGTAAATCCAGATAAATCCTTGTATACATGTAGCCTTTTACTTAACAATGTAAGCATTCAACCTCAGGCTATGACGCAAAATTAGGAATCTTCCTTAAATATATTATCGTCTTTCCTTGTGCTTCCCCAGTGATTCTTGAGGAAAACAATAAATTGAATTATTTCTTCATGTTTCCAGGTGAACGTTGATCCCGAGCTGCAGCCCTGGGTCTCTCATTTGAACAGTTATGTAAAATGTACCCTATGAAAACGTATTAGTATTAAGTTACTAGTATATCTTTCTTGTCCAGTCTTTTTTGTAAACAAATTAATTTTTCTATGTCCAACTTTCCATTTAGGATGATTTAAAATTCTGAATTTTTCCAGAAAGCAAACACGTAATTAGCCCAATTGTTTTTATCGTATATTCTTCTCTTAATTTCTTTAATTATTAAACTTAGACCCCCCCCCCATCATAGCCCCACCCTAACCCCCGAGGCCACGATGGACAATTTAGAATATTCACTTTATCAGGCAGTTACCAAAAATTTCATCTTTTCTGGTTCTTGGGATTTTGATACACTTTTAATTTCTTTCATTCCAAAGTATAATTTACACCCTCTATTATCGATTTACCATACCCCATGGAACTGATTAAAACATTTTATATAGTTACAAGTATCAACAAATGAAAACTCTGAACATGGCATAGGCATGGACACCAGGAACTTCCAGAGGTAGGATAGGATGCCTAGGAAGAAAAAGCATCCTCCGATGACAAGAACTTTATTTTAATCACAAAGCGAAGGAATTCATGACTTTCTAGATTGTACATGCAGACATTGTTGAAGTATGAAACTAAAGTCCAGATTAAAAACGATGACAATTTATTAGCTATAAGTGGACAAACTCTGTCAAATAATGGAAGAAAGCGTTGTGTATTATGACTTTCTTTCTGCAGTATGGCTGCTAACTGAATAAATGTATCAAACAGCAAATAATATCACATACTTTTGTATATAATTTCTTTGGTCTTATTTGAATTGACCATACGCATTTTATTGTAGTATACATGTAGAGTCAAAATTAACTGATAAGATGCAATTTTTAAATTTCTCCATCCTGTTTGAGTTTGTATCTAATACAGATGAATCAAAGAATATTTAATGTTTTTCCTGTTCTACAATTTTCGTTTTGTGTCGTATGTCAGCATTCTGACATCTCTGTCTTGTTCCCATTTTGACAACTCCTCTTCTGGAAGAATACGTTTCATTACTTCTCGCATTAATTTATCACAGTCTCCGAAGACCCTTGATCCGTATGGAACTTCATCATCATCCACTTTCAAACAAGTTTCATCAAAATCAGTCACTTGTCTGAAAAGATTTTTTAAACATGATTCACTTGTTAATTTTCTCAAATGAATTAATACTTTTAACAAGAAGCTGCTTGCATTTTAACAAAATTCAAGGAAATTCTCATAAAAATCAGTCACTTGTCTGAAAAGATTTTTTATAAATTATTCACTTGATAATTTTCTCAAATTAATTAATACTTTTAATAGGAAGCTGCTTGCATTTTAACAAACTTCAAGGAAATTCGAATTTTATATTTCCAATAGATACTCTCCATCTTACGAGATTAAAGTTTTTTTAAAAAAAAAAAAAAGAGGCTTGTATTTCACATTTTCGGTATTAAAAAGGTTTGTTTGATGTACCTGTTGCAAATGATTAAACGCGTTGGGCGTTTACCCATCTTCACCATCTCGTTTGCTGGAAACACCTTAAGTGTCGTCCCGAGTGCCAAAACCAGATCAGCGCGCGAAGCTTGTTCTACGCCGCTTCTGAACACGTTTACCTCTAGATAATCCCCGAAGTTTATAATGGTGTTCATCAAGTATCCGGTACACTTCTAGAAAAAAGAGTTTTAATATTAGAATCGTAAATAATATAACCGCCTTATCCTTGATCAATATATTCTTATTTTTTAGGTCACCTGAGTAAACTCAGGTGACCTATTGCTATCTGTTTTCGTCCGTCGTCGTGCGTCGTTCGTCGTGCGTTAACATTTGAACATTTTCAGCTTCTTCTCTGCAACCACTGAACCAATTTCAACCAAATTTGGCACAAAGCATCTAAGGGTAAAGGGAAACAAAAGTTGTGAATTTCATGATCCCTGCCCCCCTGGGGCCTGAGGGGTGGGGCCAAAACCACTAAAATTAATGCAATCTTTAAAAATCTTCTTCTTTACTCCTGGACATCAAGCAGTCAAACTGTTTGCATGATTGTAATCAGCAATGAGTCCTCTACCAAAATTGTGAAATTCACGGCCCTGGGGTCAGGGGTTCTAGTGCTAGGGTGGGGCTAAATGAGAAGTTAGTGAAAATGCATTATTTCTTTGAAAATCTTCTTCTCTGCTCCTGGGTATTAAATAAACCAACTAAGTACATAGTTATGATGAGCAGGAGTGCCTCTACCAAAATTGTGAATTTTATGGCCCCAGGGTCAGGGGTTCTGGTGTTAGGGCGGGGCTCTATTGATTATATAGTGAAAATACATGAATTCTTTGAAAATCTTCTTCTCTGCTCCTGGGTATTAAATAAACTAATTAAGTACATAGTTATGATAAGCAAGAGTGCCTCTACCAAAATTGTGAATTTTATGGCCCCAGGGTCAGGGGTTCTTGTTTTAGGGTGGGGTTCTAATGATTATATAGTGAAATGCATGAATTCTTTGAACATCTTATCCTTTGCTCCTGGTTAATATGCTAATGATCTAATTACATATTTAAGGCCAGGATTTATTTTATTTTCAGTTTTACAAACCCTCCGCTCAAGGTTTTGAATTTTCAGAAAAAAATAAAACAATTTTTTTCTTTCCGATGTCAAATTTGAGTCGGGATCGAGATTTCAAATTTATGAACTCGCACTTCCGGTTTTGCAATGAAACGGTGGGTAAATATAGCTAGATCTGAGAAGATATCTTGGTTTAGTGTAAAATTCATCGATAAGAGTGCCATTCAAAACGTTTCACCCGTTCAAAGGACAAATAAAATGCTGACGACTTTGTTGCACAATGACATGCTGATGAGATAATTATGTATTCGTTTCAAAAGTAACTGTAAATTATTTTCCTCCCCCAGGTTTTAAACTGCCCGTGGTAGCTATTTCATATTGCCAGGGACATTGTTTAGGTCTCTGTTATAGCTTACAGTCTAAGCACCATTCTTCAGAAAAGGGTTGCTTATGCATCAGATGTAATGAATAAAACTATGGGAGAAGTGAAGTTCATTTGAGGAAGAAATAAACAATAACCTGAAGAAATAAAAAAAATTTCAACTATTAAAAGGCAAGGATATACAAATATATACAGGCATGTAGTATCATTTGTATCAGCCAGAAAAATTATTTTACACTTAATTGAAAAAATGTTGACCCTACTCCCCAATACTCCCTGTCTGTTTTATGATAGGAATTATAATTTTAGGCATCAAGTAAATTTTAGAACAATGTCTACACATTCACCTAACACACGTTAAAAAAATGAAGATATATTGAAAGACTTTTAAAGAATTGATTTTTTAAAATATATTTTGATCAACATCACAAAATTTATATAACTGGCCCAAACTGACAGATGATGAAATAAGCAATTAAATGTTCTACTTTCCTATTTGTAAGCTTTATGTTTCCAGTGGTAAGGAGCCTATTAGGATAGCATAAAAAAGAATGTACAAATGTTAATAATTTATTTATCAAAAAAAATTTTTTATTTCCTTCTCCTTCGGGACTTTTTTATTCTCATGTTCATAACTAAACCTAAACATAAAAAAAATGCTGGCCTTATAATGAAGAAAGGGGCCTCTTTCAAAATAGATAATTTCAGGGCTGCTGGGTCAGGGGTACCAGGGGGGTACTTTGACTAATAAAATAAATTAATGCTTTGAAATCTGCCCTTTGATAAGCAATGGTGCCTCTTTCAAAATTTGTGAATTTCATGGCTTTTGGCTTAAAACACGAACCAAATACAATCGCTGGAAAGTTGTTACATGATACTCAGGTGACCTATAAGGCCCGTGGGCCTCTTGTACATTAATGAGAACGTTTCAATTGATTAAGAAAAATAGCGTACTTTATTTTACCTCAACAGTTTTCTGGAATTGAAAACTGTAATAAATAGTATTACCTTTTCACTACAGGAACGACCAGTCCGATGATTAATTCGGCACTGCTTGCAGATATTGACGGGAACTTTGGTAGATTTTCCATTGCATCTGAAATTTCTTTCATATCGTTTTTTGCACTTTTCACATTTTTCGACAAACATATTGCCATGCAATTCTGTTATCTGACTTTCTTGAAGTCCAGAGAGTCGATGCAGTCCATCAACATTTTGACTGATCACATGCTTTAAATTTCCCATTTCTATTAGTTTGAATAAAGCCTCGTGTGTGTAAGTTGGACGGAGCTTTTGAACGTCTTGTATTTCTCTCTTAGATCTCCCCTTGCTTCCTAAAACGGGATGAAATATAAGCTTGATTCCATACATTAGTTAAATGTCAGTTCAAGGCTTTTCTTGATATAGGGGGAAGATACATCTTGGTATGTAATTCCTGACCTGTAAATCTGACAAGTATATTTAATAATATTTTGTAATTATTGCTTTACCATGCTCTTGGACTTTGTCTTTTTCTGTCCATTTGCCCTGAATTCCTCGGAAATCCCCGATACCTGCCGCGGTGGAAATACCAGCTCCTGGTTATGAAACATGTTAAATTATCAATTTATTTCTTGTTATGCTCGTGGGCTTTTTTGATTAAAAAAATATAATTTTGAGCTCATCTGGTGAAAAACAACAACAAATAACTTGGGTGAGCATTGTTTATAAATTAATTTTATACTATAAATGCCCATGGCTCACCTGTAAACGCTATGCAATAATCAGCATTTTTTATCAGGTTGACTATGTGGTCTGCTTCCTGTTCAAATTTTGCGCACGAGTCATGGATTTCTACTGTCTTTGCAGCCTCTTTCACCATTTCTTTTTCGTCCTTTGTTAGAGGTGATTCCTTGTCCTTATATAGCCCACGCAAGGCAAACCAACATTCTGTGTGGAACGTTGCAAATCCTTCGTCATTCCAATTAACAAGGAAACCTATTAAGAATAACAGAGATCACTTATAGGTAATCTTATATTTGGTGGTCTTATAAACATAAAAAAATAAAGCATTTATTTTGTAAGGTACCAAAAAATTCAGATTAAATGTGTTTCAAAATTTGTAAATTATGTATATGTACGTATTTTTGTTCCTAATTCTATACTTTTTTATATATAGATTCGAATAAAAAAATATCATTGTCTAATAAAAAATGATAACAAATACATGAAAAGTACTTATAGTAATTGTCATCTAAAGGGAACTTTGTGAAGTGAATAACTAAAACATTCTGTGTGGGTAGACAAAAGTTACATGTATTATACGTATTGATTTACAATGATCTTGGAAAAAGAATAACCGATACTTATACTAGAAGCACACACTTGATCAAGTAGCCCCTCACCCAATGCTCTGAGAAGTAAAGTATTTTTATGAAATAAATATATTTCATTTGACAAATTTCTATTCTGATATTGACAAAAATTTTAATTAGGTAGACATTACAAGCGTGGTCGTCTAAGTGATTTAATAAGGTCTGTATATACAAGTACTGCCCCGTTTTCTAATTTCTAACAAATTCATGTTGTTTAAAAGATAGATTGAAGGATATTGAAATGTCAAACCTGATCTTTTGCTTTTTGGAACAGCATATGCCCTGACATCCGCGTGTCCGTCCTCCTTTCCGATGGGACCTTTATCACAAGAAATCAAACGACATTTCACAGTACCGTCTGTTCCAGTGGCCATTTTAAAGTAAGTATCCACTACCGTCGCTGTATTAATCTGATTAAATGTCCAGGTTGTATTGTTTTTGTTGTTATGCATTCAAAAACTGACACAAAATGTTAAAAATAGAACAGGGAATCCATAATTTAAAGGTATGACTAATATAAGGTATCTTGACCTGGTTTAGAACATATGAAAAGAATGGAAATGTTTTCCTTCATGTTTTATTTGACATTGCTATATGGAACCTAAAACATTTCGAAACTACTGCAATCTGCTTTTAAATTTAGAAGTTTAAAAAATTGAATTTCTTATTGTTAATTAAAAAAAAATATTAGGTCAAGAATTGAAAATCATCTGTTTAAATTTCTCTTCAAAAAACTTTAATCCCAATAGTAATTGTTGAACGTCTATATTTTTTAATAAGCAGAAAATATCTTAATTGCGCAATAGCACAGCTGGTATTTATATCATTTTTACGAGTTGATGGACATCAACTCAGGTTATGTTCTTACAAATGTTGACCTAATTTTCAACCAAAGTACACACATCATTAATTCAGTTCCTTCTACGATAAAGTGTACCGTATCTTGAGAAACTCAACATATATAAAAGCGAACATATATACTGAACACATGTCAACGTTTCTTTTTTTAAAGGAAATTTATTTTAAGTATACACAATAGAATTTTCATTAATATGCCTTATTGTGTCGGTCCGACAAAAAAGATAGTGCATTTTAAACCCCCCGAAAAATGAAAGTGTATTTCGTCTCTTCTCATATGTGCATATATGCCTTGTCGATTTTCAATTTTTTTTCAAACTAATTGCATAAAATATTGGTTAATTTTTTTCTGTGCCAAGTGTTTCGGAGTTTATGCAAATTTAGGCCAAACATAGTGGTCGAACTACTTTTTGATATTCATACGCACCACGCTACTTTGTTTTGTAAACAAAAACACGCAAAATCGGCAGCACAAGAGTGACTTCAAAAGAAATTGACGGGACTGTGGAGGCTCACTAGGAACTTTTTAGAAGGTCCGTAAAGGTAAATACATGTATACTTAAGTATAGTTGCACGTGTTGCTCTGAAATATAAGCTTAGCCAGTAGTTTATCGATAGGACTTCGTATGGTACTGACCGAGTAAACATTTGCGCCACCTTGTTTTCGCGGCTCTGGGGGCCTGGTTTTATACAAGTTTTTCTGTTTGTTTTGTCCGCATAATTTAGGGGCGTAGCTTCCATTGTGGTAATGAGGCAACTGCCTCAATAGAAATATTATTTTAAGTCTTTGAAAACACACAAAATAGCAGTCGTGCGACAGGACATGCCATAGAATTTCCGACTAGATTTCCACCTTCCTGACAGAATTGGTCATGTTTTAGTGAAAATCGAATGAATATTCTTTTTTTTTTGCATGCAATGATGCTAAACGAAATTATCCAAGATGACATTTCTACTTGTTGTATTACACAAAAAATACGACGAGAACGAAGCATCTGTTGGAACGACGCCATTTTTATTTTAGCCAGGAGCGGATCAAAATCCACCACACACACCTGTTCATAATAAATCTGGAATGAGTTATTTTAATTGATTTATGTTTGCTGTTATCGCTTCAGAAAAATATAGACAACTTTTTAAATGTGACATAACAGGGTGAAAGTGTCTTATTTATTGATTTTCATTATAAAATTAAAAAAATAATATTCATAAATGGGAATATGTGAAAAAAAATACACATGTTCTGGATGACATGCGAGTACAAAGACATCCTGTGTCATAATACTATGGAATTAACAATTTGAGATGTTAAAAAAAAAAAGAAAGATCAGATCGAGATTTTGATAATCTTAGAGATTATTATGTTGATGATGTCAAGGGCTCAAAAAAGAAAAAAAGACAAAATTTTCTTGAAAATATCAGGTTAAAAAAATTGTCAAAGCAAAGTCCTCAGCTATTTCTTGCATTGCAGCAGATGTGCATCAAGCATCAAACAATTTCTCAGAAGATAGTAGAGGTAGACAGTGTACATGTTGCTAATACAGTCTTGTAAGCATTTTGTATAATGAAGTGGTTTGAATTCAAGTGATCTTAATTTATTGCTTTGGAAAGATGATGATTTACATTTAAGATGTCATAATAAATAAAATACCCTTCAAATCTTCCATTTCACTTGTTATTTATATGTTGTTTTAATTAGAATTTAAAATTAATTATTTTTCTAGAAGTATAAACAACAATGGCTAGAGCATAAAGGATGGCTGGGAGATTTGATAAACTTACTGTTGTAGGAGAACAATTTCAAGCATTGATATATATTAGAAAATTGTGCTGTCAGTCTTTTGTATGTTGGAGGACAAGCTTCCCCTTGAAAACTGGAACAAATGTGAAATGAAGAATGTGTATCTTCATATTGAGAACTTTTCCTTGTAAAATTACCTCTGGGAAAAAGTTTATTTCATATCAATTTATTGTGTTCATTATCTGGTTTAATTTAATTGGAAGGATTTGATTACGAAACCTTTTTCACTGTTTCTGGAGGTTTGTTGGTTAATTTCTCATTCCGGAGAAATGTAACCTCCCCTACACATTTTGCATTCTTAATGCTCGTGACACTTGTGAGAAAATTATAAACAAAATTGTGACTGTGTTTTTCTCTTTCTAAAAAATTCATTTTCTTGTATTTTTACTGTATATTGTGCTTTTACACATTCAAACTGGTAGACTGCAATGTTAAAAAATCTTATATGATAAGTATAATAGTAGTAATTGCCAAATTGATTATGAAAAGTATTTTTTTAAAGGGATACATTTGCTGTATCCACATTAAGGACATTCAGATACTGTTGTACCATGATATTTATAAAAAAGCGCGTCATTTCATTTGTTAAAATAGGACACTAATAATCAATAAATGTATAATGTAAAAAGAATTTACCATGCTTTCCTTATTATTTCATGACATTAATTGTTTATGGGATTTAATACAGTGAGTTATCTCATGAAATTGACATCAGAAATCAAATGGAAGTCTAAATTTCTGCTATTTAATGGCAATTTCATTTCTTTATCAATAAAGCAGTGTTCAATTTATAAGGTTGAACCATCAACTCGTATCAGTACTTTCAGTACTTTGATTTCTATGGTTGGTATTTGTCACTATCGGAATGTGCATATTGAGCAAGATACTAAATTCAGATGGTTATATTGTCAGACGTAGGACTGAGATTTGGTGCTTCGCAAATAGTTCCAGGCCCGTATCTGAATCTTAGACCTTTTTCGTCTTGTGTCCCTGAAAATACAAATATCTTTATAATTTAAAGAGGAAAAATTTCTGAAAAACTGTCATTTTAATATAAACAAATATAACAAACAAATTATGAGCATAAAAGATGAAAGTATTAACTGTGCATTTAATATCAACATTCTTTAAACAAAAACTTTCAATTTTATTCACAGATGACTTCTCATTGCTGTCTGCCATACTCTCAACTAATAAATGTAAATTTAGTTTTTTAACGTCATAATACCCTTAGTTTACATTTTAAACAAAAACAAAGAAACGAGAATGCACACATTTCTAAATGTAAAATCTAATTTTTATAGTTTTTTTTAAACTACAAATCAAAAAACAATTTCAACAGTGATACTGGAATTTTCCTTCTAAAATTTTTATTTTCATGATTTTAGTCCAAATTAATGTCCACTGTTTGCGTTTCATGTCGTAAGAGACCATGCAGATACATGTAAATGTCTATAGTTTGCGTTTCATGTCGTAAGAGACGAGTCTTTCCTCGCGTCTTGCTTCCCAATCTTGCAGTTCTTCTTTTGGGAGGACATGTTTCATGATCTCTGACATCAGCTTATCACAATCTCCAAAAACACGTGACCCTAATGTTGACGTTCCGTCCTCGTCCATCTCACAACAAACGGAATCATATGGAGTTTTTTGTCTGAATAAAGAAGTATTAACTGAGATTAATATTTTTTTTCTTTTAAAACTTTTCTTATTTTACTGTTACATCTAATCTGTGCACAACAGGCTATCAAACAAAAACTTGTAATGAATTTACTAGAGTTTTCCTTTAGCTAAGCAAACAAGTACCTGTTACAAATAACAAGTCGAGTTGGTTTTTGTCCCATTTCTACCAAGGAATTCGCAGGAGAAACTTGAAGTGTGGATCCGAGAGCTATGACAAGGTCTGCTCGTTTAGCGTTGAGCATTGCGTTTTCCAAGACATCTTCCTCCAGGTAGTCCCCAAAATTGATAATAGTATTCATGAGGTAACCTCCACAACTCTAAAAAACAAGTTTCATTTATATACAGAGATATTACTTAAGAATATGCTGTATATCTAAAGGACAAATAATACAATACATATAAAACACACCTTTATCAGATTTAAATTTTTTTGCCCCCCCTAATCAACCAATCAAGGGTACATAGTTTTTGCCTTGTCCGTCCGTTTGGCTGCAAAAACTTTAACCTAACTTTCTATTGGGATTTGGTATTTTATATTTGATTTCCTTCTGACATGACCTTTGTTTGAATACCGTATGATTGATCATATTTGCATCCTTGGGAAGAAGGGTAGTGTAGATCTTGTGTTTTATATCATAAACCCGGAGGTAAAGTGTGGTCACAATGAAAGGTCAAAGGAATACATTGGTTAAATCTTTAAACGTCTTCTTCTAAAAATAAAAAGCAGTGGTATAAATTTGTTCAAATTTTGAGTGCCCCCCTCAGCCTCGGGAATAATAGTTATCGAAGGACTATACAGAATATATTTGTTAGCATTTTCTTCTTAGGAGTAGCAAAGCCATGATTATAAGTCATAATTAAGAAGCAAGGTCAGGAAGTAGATTCAAGACGTTCAAATCACCCCCTGGGCCTCTCATATAAGAATTTTTAAATACTGTACATATGTACATGTATGAATTTTCCTAGCGAAAGTGCTCAGGTGAGTGATGTGACCCATGGACCTCTTTTTGTTTCATTAATTTTCTTTTAAATTCATATGAATTATGCATGTATTCACGGAACATCAAGGAGAGTTTTAAATCATATCTATATGTACAAATTTATCAGATACCTCATCTGAGCAGACGCCTCCTGTTCGGTGGTTTATGCCACATCTCTCACACTTCTTAGGTGGTACAACAGTGGATTGTGGCCTGTAGCGGACAATTTTTTCATACCGTTTCCCACATTTCTCACATTTTTCCAGGAACGCATTACCGTGTAACTCGGATATCTGCGATTCTGGTATTCCCGATAGTCTGTGCAAGCCGTCTGTGTTTTGACTGATTACATATTTCATATGTCCAATCTCCAAAAGTTTGAGTAAGGCTTCG